CTCGTGGCCGGCCTTCCCCTGCCACCCAGCTCCTCCACAAACTCAGCCCAAAGGAAACTCCCCCCTCCCCGGGCCAAAGGGATCCTTCCTCACGTGCACACCGGCCTCCCAGGCCTCCACCCCCCAGGCTGCGCCCCTCTCCCCTCCTGGGGGTCCCAGGCCTACGTCACAGGGCTAGGTCGCAGCTCAGTGTCACTCCAAGAGCCGGACTTGGTGCCTGGAGCTGCTTCCTCAAGCCAGCTGCTCCGAGCTTCCCCCCTTTTGCAGCTCACGGCTGCTCCTTGCAGGGCTCCGCTCTTGGGCTTTACCCCCCCAGGATCTGGCTCAGGAGGGGGGAGGTGGGGGGGGGGAGACAGTGGGAGAAGGACTTGAGAACATCTGGAGGCCGGCGCACAAGTTGCATCTCCAATGTCCCGCCACCTGCTTCGGCGCAAGAAAAGGGGACCAAGGGAAAGTGGGTAAGACCCTGATGTGAGGCATGAACACTGGAGCAGAACTGAGTGGAGGAGGAGCTGGGGGCAGGGGATGTTACCCACAACGGAGGAAGAGGGGGGCGAGTTTCTTGAAATCCCATCTCAGAGTCTCCCCATCTCACTGGCCACGACGCCACCGTCCCTCGAGGCTGGTGTTTGCCCCCCCACACACACACACTCGCTTCGCCCTCCTGCAAAACTTGCACACCCCGTGGAGCGGCCGAGAGTGCGCGAGACTCGCTCGCGTCCTTACACAACTCCTGAAGCCTGCGGGCCGTTCGAGAGCGGGCAGACGAACGACGCACCCAAGGGCAGCGGTACGGAGAGCCAGGCAGCAGCCTCTTGGCTCCTGTTCCGGAATGAGAGGTCACGGCAGGGGATGGCTGGCCGCTCCAGACGCCACTCGCAAACAGATTTAGTGGCGGCTGCGCATTTCACCTCGGTCACAACAATGATCCCGTTTCTCCGGTTTCTGAGCAAGCTGACCCGGTACTTGAGAAGCTGGTCGGAGCTGGACTACGCCCCCCTCACCCTGGCTCAGGCCTGGAATTCTGCAGACATGAGCATCCAACACCACGGGGACGTCTGCATTAGCACTTGTCAGTAACGCAGACCCCCGCGGGACGCAAGGTTCACCGCAGACAGGCCGGTGTGGACGCGCCGCCAGCGGGAGATGCGACGACGGCTAATGGGAGTGGTTTCATTGGAGCGACAGGAGAGCTCTCCCAGGGTGGGTCTAGACCACAGGGATTTCTCGAAAAAAGGGGCCTTTTTGTTGAAAAATCTTTACCTGTGTCTAGACTGCAGCCACATTCTTTCAAAAGGATATCGAAAGAACGCGGCAGTTTTTTTGACCGCGGAAAACCTCGTTTTACGAGGAAGAACGCCTTTTTTTTGAAAGTGCTCTTTCGAAAAAAGGCGCCATGTATTGCAAACAGGGCTTTTTCGAAAGGGAGCATCCAGACTGCCTGGCTCGCTTTTTCGAAAGTACTGGTTGTAGTCTAGACGCTCTTTTTCGAAAGAGGCTTGCAGTCTAGACGTAGGCCCACCGGCACAGAGCGTTGGCACGGGAGACCTTCAGCACCGCAGAGGACTGGAGTGCAGGTCAGAAGCGATAGGGGAGGGAGGAGCAGAGGCACCAAGAAAGTTGATGGATTAGGGAGGAAATTCTGGACGAGGCTCAAAACCGACATCTGCTGGAAGAGATTTCCAGCTCCTGACTCGTGTGCGCGCTGTGGGTTCGCTCTCTCCCAGGTGGGTCAAGCTGAACACAACATGCAATTAGCCAGTAACCACATCACAAGCAGCTACACAACAGCCTTACGGTGAGTGTGTGTGCGAACACAGGCTCTGCCAGAGTCCCAAGCGCCCAGCAAGTGCTCAAGGCTGACCCCCCCCCACGATCTAGCCATGGCACCTCCCAGGCAGCGCACCCCCAGCTGGCTCCATGCAGATGACGTTCTGCCTAGCAGACTCCTCCTGCAGCTCCCAAGAGCTCTTCCCTCCCTGTGCTCGTGTGCGGCGGCGCTGAGGACGGCCAGGCGCTGTTAAAAAGTTCCTGGGTTTTACCCCTGAGACCACCGCAGTTCCATAGCGAGTGAGCAGATCGCTGTGTAATCCCATAGGGTCCTTCAGAAGAAAGCGGTGACTGCGTCTCTCTCTCGTTACGAGCACCAGCGCCTGTGGCGAGGGGTGACTAGCGCCCGAGTTGTCTGCATAATGCTTTTGACACAATAACCACAAGCTGGCCATAGCGACACACTGAGTTACACCCAGGCACCTCCCCACCCCCTTTCTTCATGCCTTGATTTAGCTTTCCTGCTCTGCCGCAGAAGATACGGCTGGGTAGAGCGTTGGTTTCCTGGCTCCCAACCTGCAGATTCGCCCTGGGGTGGTTTTCTGGAGCCAGAGCACAAGGGTTTGCACATGTAAGACCAAGTGAAAGCCCAGCCTCAGAGCGACGAGGGGAAACGCCTCCAGAAAGGCACCCCGTGATGGGAAAGGACGGGGCGGGGCGGCGCATGGAGTCTGGCGCGGCCCGTGCATGCCGCAGTCCTGGGCCACCCGCAGCACTTCAGTGTCTTTGCACAGGGCATGGAAAAGCGAGTCTCAAAGTCTGAGCTCAAGGCCGTGGTTGACCGTCCCCCTCCTCATGCTGAGTGGAACTGCAGCGGGGCACCTCCACCCCACCCCGGCCCGGTGGGCCCCCTCAGCTCCGCCCCACTGCCCCCGCCAGGCTCAGAGGAAGGGCCGGAAAGGGGAGAGCACAGCTGGGGGGGCTGGCGGGGGAAGAGAGCAGAGAGCCAGCTGGCACTCTGCCGGCACCTGCTGCCTATCCGGGCCTCCCTGAGGCCTGATGTAGGATGTGTTCGCTCCCAGCCCCTTGTCTGC